GCATTTTACCAACTGAATTATGCCTCATTAAGCTCTCTTTGTCGACATATCTTTTTTCTAATTTTCATCTTAAGTAGTTGTTGAAAAGTAAAGAACTTTTCGAAGCGGGCAACTTAAAATCTCTAATAATTTCAAGTTCATCGATGATTAACAGTTCTAAAAATTGAGTACTGATGTAATATTCAGTTTTTTGTTTTTTTTTACATAATTCGTACAGTTTAAAAAATGTATGAAGGCTTAAAGTAGCAATTCCTTGGAAAGCTTGCTTTAATTTTAGACTGAATCGTCCATAAAAATTTCCATAATACAACGAAAACATTTGTCTTTTCAATCAAGGTAACAATGAAATACTTGATGAAGGTATTTACAGCTGTCTTCACCGGGGTTGCTATTACACATTTCAATATTGTGTCAGCCAAAGATAACTCATCTACGAAGGAAGACGAACGGGAGATCAAATGGTTTCTCAATCTTACAATAACATGGATTGTCAAACCACCGTACGTCGCACTGCCTACCAATGGATCTATAGACAGCAGGCCTCAGGGACTAATCCGAGATACACTTTTACGATACATCGAGTATGAATGCAGTTACCTTCATAATGGAAAATACCAAATACAAGACCGGCACATAAACAGTGAATATGAAATGATCGAACTCTTGAGGCAAAACAAAGTCCACGTTGCAGCTCCTATTTTCGAGCCAAAAGGGGACAGACACTACAGCGAGTTTCCGTTTTTCAAAGTTGTTGATTATCCAGGAACAGACTTCATTAGCTCTGAGGAAAGGAACAATAAGATGAGCGACGTTTTGGATGCCGTACTAAGGTCTTGGCCACTGCTAGCTGTTACTCTGGTCCTGACAGCAATTTCAGGGGTTATTATGTGGGCATTGGTATGTTTGCGCTTGTGAAATCAAATTGTCTCTAACACCCCAATGTTATTTTCTAGGCATATTCACTACAGTAACTTTTTTTCTTTCTTGCTGTTGAATAAAACCTTGCATAATGATTTACATGCATTTCTTTTTTTTTGCGTTTAATGGAGAAACCTCCAATGTCAGCAGCCCATCTTATCTGAGAAAGATTGGAAATCGCATTCATCACGACAGCCGATCGAAGGGCAATTGCAAAAATAAATCAGACACAGAGCTTCCAACTTAGGTACAGGAAACTCCTTACGCGCAATTCTCAACTATGTGACAAGCGTTTTCCATAAAATATTAACGTTGTCGAAAGTGAGGAGTGTGCAGTGACAATTTTAGTTTGGATTATTTGATCATAAGATCACTATTTTGTGTCCTTAAGAGACGGTTTAAATTTTAAGATCACTCAATTCTTCTTGTAACAGGATTTGATTACTTGCCTCGTTATCAACAACACTGGCCGGTTCATTTTGCAGCGGAGACTGAACTACGAGTTGGGGCTACACAAACTGGGGAAAACATGATCATATCTTTTTATTTACTTAATTAATGAAATCTTTCTGTTTTCATATTTAGCATCATTTCTTTGTTCTTTCAGGACACTTATTGGAACAGTGAAGAATTTCCGCGATCATTCATCAAAGGTTCATGGGATGGATTTTGGTGGTCCTTTATTTCGATGACCACAGTAGGGTAAACTCTTTAGTTAAATAACTAGCCTTGCAAAAAATAATTTTACCACTTTTAGTGATTTTATTTAAATTTATCGACCGAGTTGTTTTGTAAGATGAGTCTACCTAACACTCCAAAAGTGTAGACGAACAAACCCTGACACCACAAATTTGAATTGAACATCGAAACAGTGGGCTAGAAAACCCTCCCTCGTTGATGTCTAACGTTTAATTCGAGCCGTTTCAACATGGTTCACCTATCTAATTCTAAATGTTCCCTCATAATTAATGTGCAAGCAGAATTAAAAAATGATAATTGATCTTTTTCGCCTTTAGCTATGGTGACAAATCTCCCAAATCTCTTCCTGCACGGATATTCTCCATTGTTTGGATCTTCGTGGGCCTGATTGTTATGGCTATCTTTACGGCGAACGTTACTACCGCACTGACGGCACTTACCCTGGAAACCGAACCAAGCAGATTTGCTAATAAGAAGGTAGGGTGGATAGATTTCTGAACGATAAAAGAAAAATAACGTGACATGTCATGGATAAATTAGCTATACAAACGGCCTGGAAAGTATCTCATGCATTCCCGAGTGGATTACTGTATAGATCAATACGAAAATGTTATCATTAACATACTCGTAGTGATGTCTTGATTTTCCCGGCCTGGCCTTGTCCTTGGACTTTTCTTTCTCTTGGTCTTGCTCTTCTTCTTCTTCTTCTTCCGCGTCCTCTCCTTGTTTTTCGTTGCCGTCGTCGTTCTCTTTGAAAACGATCCCATTACATTATCATAATAATGATGCAACTGTGTTTTGTAGAATACTTTTCTATATTTGACAATAAAACTTTCATCAGGTTGCAGTTTTAGGAAATGGGACAGAGTACCAACACGCGCAACAAGAGGAAGCTGAACCAATAGGTATACGTACAATCCAAGAAGTACCATGTGCTATTAGGTGTCCTTAAAATAATATAAAGTATAAGCTATAGTATAAGCTATACCATAGTGACAAGAAACATCGCTGCAAAGCAAGGTCCATCTACCACAGACGTTATAAGGAAATAATGTCTTGGATACGTGTACGGAGTATGCACGCTCATATCCATGCTCATATCCATGCCGATCAATTATTTTATTTCCTCCTTTTGTTAACGTTTGTGCCAGTCTGCCTTGTTTATAATTTTTTTGTTTTTTTATTTCTGTTTTGTTTTTTTTTTAACTACTACATTTAGTGCACACCAGTATCAACGACGCCGTCAAAGCTTTACAGTCCAAGGACGTGGATGGAATATTCATAGATCACTACACAAACATCTTTTATCACTCAAGAGAAAAATTGAAAACGCTTCTCACCGTCAAGAAATTGGAGCTTCAAAGAGATGTCGGGGTTCTCTTTTCACAGGACAGAAAAGACCTAGCAGATTGCCTAAATTATCAACGTTCCACCATTTGGAGGTCGGCTCAAACCATCACTACAACATATAAGGTAGTAAAGTAGAGCTTTAAGTTGCGAAAAACCTTTAAGCAGCAAGCTCAGATCTCTCTGATCTGTACATTTCCTGCTTGTTCGTGTTCTTGTCATTGCTTAGTTGTTGTCTCTTGTATTTTTTTTCCCTCTTTTTTGTTTTCGCACATTTGTCAACTATTGTATGTGAAACGTGAAAAACATTTAACATTTAACTGAGCCGGCGACTTATGTTATCCGATCACTTAAAGTGCACCTGACCCCTATATTTTCTTTCACTTTAAAAAATCTTCATGCTTTGGTGAGTATTTCCTCGAAAAACTTGTTGGATTTGGTTAAATTCTCAATTTTTTATGGCCCCTTGAAGTCGAGATCCGAATGGACTACGACCGTGTAAATGGGGATCTGGGCAGAGTAACTTGTGACGTCACTTCGAGAAGACGCTGAAGGAATTCTCAGCCAGTCGTCGATCTGCTAAAGCCTTTCTAGCACGAGATTCATTCTATTTGGTCTTCGTAGCCTGTGAAATTCAAGTGAAAAATGTCTTCCGAATCATTGGATATGGAGACAAGCTTCGACTCAGACGACTCGGAAATGAATTTTATCGCTGAATACGAATTTTAAGACGAAGGGCAGTCATCCCGCGTTTCACCATTATCACTAGAAACTTCGAGCGATTCAAGCGATTTCGATTCTGGTTATACTGACGAGCCACTGGCTGATGCAGAATGGATAGAAAAATACCAAGAAGAAATGAAGGCTAACGAAGGGCTCGAACGAAGCCTTAAGGACCGGTTACGGGGCAATGTAGAACTGAAGGAGTGGTGAGATTCGCGGGTTTCTCCCTTATATACATATTCGCGTGAGCTTTAGTTATGCATTACATGTGTTGGCACGATTGCTTCTGGCGCAGTTGTGTATGTATTTCTTGGATGATTTTTCTGCTAACATAAATTTGTGAACTTTAGGTGGAAGTGTGGAAATTGCAACGTCGCTTTGTTACAAAACATCAGTGAATGTTATTGCTGTTGTGAACTGGAAGGCTGCGAAGACTCGATCAAGAGTGACTTTGTCATACAAGATTTTGCCCCTGATTGTGAATTCCAGAGAATCACAAGATAGCGTTGCTTAGCTGTGGAAGGATAGCTAGTACATAGAGCCCCAAAACAAACGCACAAGCACCACGTGTAACAATCCCAAGTGTTTAACTTTATGAGATACAAAAATGGAACGTAGCCAGGTAGCGATAAATAAGGTAGTTGCTGAATACTTGGTGTGATTGCGATAGCAAATGTAGTAGAATGACGTGTGTGTGTGGTTCGAATTTGGTAGAGCTCCTAGCGTACTTGAAAAGCGCGGGTAGCGGAGTAGACGAAACAATTTTACACTGAGTGGCGGAGCGCACAACCTCTTGACAGCGATCAAAAAATGGTTCTCTGTTTGTCGCAAGCCCGTAATATGAGCGAATGACTGACATAAATTGCGTAACAATTTCACAACAATTACAGTAATTAAGAAAGAGCTCAAGAATCTTAGCATGAAGGTGCAGAGTGGGTTCAGCCAGTATTTGTTAGCCGCTAAGTTGGCCAAGATCTTAAAGTACGAGAAATCAAACCACAGATCGTCAACCAACAACGCGTCGTTTATCGCTTTCAATGTGACCTGTGTGATGCGGGTTATGTGGGCTATACACGCGGACACTTACACACACGCGTGGATGGACATAAACGAAAGGCATCTTCAATAAACACTACCACGAACGGCACAGCGAAGTCCCGAAAGACCAACTGAAACGTTTTAGCATTCTGAAAAAGTGTAGTAACAAGTTCGATTGTTTGGTGAACGAAGTGCTTTTCATCAGCGACCTAAAACCCACTCTGAACGTGCAAAGCGATTCGATTCGCGCAAAAGTATTTGTACAATTAGCTCCTAACATATTTATGCTAATTTACTGTTGCACCTTGCCGCAAATTTTGTAATTTTTATTTCTCCTTGACAATGGCGTCATGATGACACCGAAACGTTGGTTTTTATCGTTGTTTTTTTGCTTGTCTTTGCATTACAGTAATCGACTAAAATAAACCGTGACGTAGATAAACGTTAACTAAGCGTAAACAATCGGTGTTTCAGCAATAATCTAAGGTACAAAGGAAATAAATAGCGTTTCAAAACTAACACTGATGTTAACCTGGCCTGTATCACTGAACACCCAGGATCTCACCCCGTTTGTCTTCAGACGTGGAGTCTGAGATTAGCTGCGGACAAGTTCAAAATCAAAGAGAAGGAAAGGTATCGGAAGACGGGAAGCGAAGAAAGGTTAGCAATATTTACTGCTGGTTGGTGTGATTCCTTTTCAAGTTTACGAAAACATATCGCACCTGGATTTTCAAGTTATGAAGTTCGAAACAGTCTCGTTTGAAAACTGACGCAAAAAAAATATGCCAATGTTTGAAACGTGGCTTTTGTCGTCTGTCGATTGACTTTGTTGAGTCTACGGGAAATCACCACCATAGTTTTGCCTCGATTACTCAAGGGTTGTTCGTCCTCAGCTACATGTACTTCAGTATGAACTGTCGGAAAAGCGGTAATTCCGAAGCTGTCTCGCTCTAAATACGGATTTGATAGAGTTTTTTTGGTCCTTCAACAACGTGTAGTTTCGAACAAAATCATCTGGCTTGAAATGCTTCGAGCATATCACAGAACTCTTCGATGGCTACCATTTAGCAAGTTTCAGTCTCATAAAATCTATTCATCTCTTCCTTCGTTTCTTCGCCTCTGGATGCTCATCGCCGTAAAGCGGTATCGTATGGAGCGCTATTCCATTCTCCAAGCTTCTGACGTTACTACAACCCCCAACAACATATCTGTGCGGCATATTTGCGACCAATATCGATTTAACCTTCCAAACATAACCAGTGAACTTTGCAAAATGGCGCAAAATACAGATTGTTGGGTTCTCGAAATGACGTCATATTAGTCGCCAGACTCTTGATCCTTGAAACGCGGTCGTGAGATTTTAATGCGATTTTCCGTACTTGAAGGGGCCACAAAAATTCAAGGATTTGACCAAATCCAAAAATTTTTTCGAAGAGATACTCACCAAAGCATGAAGAGTTTTTGTAATGAAAAAAAATTTAGGGGTCAGGTGCACTTTAAACAAAAGTGACTAATCTGATTAGTCCTACGTAATGGTTGGCACGATTTGAGTCATGATTAATGGATTAATTGATAAAATAATAATAAATGCCTTCTTTTTTGGCAGCTCACTAAACGCAGTCTGGCAAAACAATTCAGTTTGTTTGACGATTCCTCCAGCTTTGTTAAAATATTGTTGTACATATTGCTTGGAGTTTTAGCAGGAATGCTTTGTATTGGAATAATATGGGACACACTTATCAGGAAGAAGTCGGATAAGCAGAAAAATTCCGTGATAGAGTGGGGTAAGGTTGTTGTTTTTTTTTTTGACAGTGTCCACTTATGAACTGCGGCTAAAAGTATGAGTACGAGAGCGATCTTCACAGTGATGAGCACTACTCACTAGTGAAAATAAGGCCTGAAAAGATCGCTTTCATACTCATTGTTTATTTGTTCATCGCGTTCGGAATTATATTTTCTGCATGTTTTATTGAGTAAGCGGTACCATTGATATAACTGTGACTCATTTTGAATTCTTTAGTTAACTAATCTATCAATTTACCTACCCGCTGGTCATTTGCAGATTAAGTGACCCATCCATTCGTTCATTTCACAATCGTTCACTTATTCAAACAGCCATATCTCCATCAACCATTCATTCATTTACCTATACATCCACCCATTCATTCACTCTTTCAGTTCATCCACCAATGTATCTATTTATTTACGTCTTCATTTGTTTGCGTGTTTGGTTTATTTATCAAATTCAACGACGTCCCATCTCTAAAAATTTACAGTGTAATGTGTAGTAAGTCCATCACCAGAAATCGGGGACATTTCGAGCCCGTTACGAAATGTCAGCGGTATATCGTATTATAGACAATTCAATATGGCGGCGGTAGAAGCGAAGTGAACACGTAACTTTCTATTTTCGTTAAACCCCACGAGAGAAAGGCCTGGTACCTTTTTATTTATAATTTTGTGTTTCTCCAAAGGAAAAGTCAAAACAAGGAAAATTGCAGTCAAATTTTGCAGTTACTGGGACTTGTATCTTTTGTGTTCTTGCTTCCTAAAATTGGGATATTTAAAAATGGCGTATTTGGCTTTTGAGCTCTGTAAAAATACGAAGAGTTTCCCGGCTGGAGGGAAATTTGTGTGCCGACATATTCGACCGTTTACGAGCAATTTAGATGAGCAAACCGCTGCAGAATGTATATCGAACTACATAGTTACGAATATTCACAAGGTTGTTGCCGCGACATAAGAATTGTAACGCCTAGTCGAAGCAGATTTTAAGAGTTTGTATGGGAAAATGGAGTCAGAATTATGAGTTTACTCGTATACCTTAGGAAAAGGTAGGCTTGATTATTTTTTTTTTCGTAGCGATGGACGCTTTAACCGATGCAGGCTGCATTTCCAAGTACGCAGCGAAAGAATATCCCATTCTTAGACAGCTACTTTGAAAAAACAATCTTATCCCATACATTTTCTTATACTGTTTCGGCGCCATTTTGGTTGTAACACGAGAACCGCCTCCGCCATATTGTCTCAAATTTTCGGCAATCATTGATGTTGTTTCCAGGCATCGCTGAAAACTAAACTTCATTCACTTAACAGGAGCCGAAAACAAAGGGATGGCGTTAACTGAGAGAGAAAGTATTCTGAACGACTTTGAAGTGGCCAAAAGACTTCTTAAACAAATGCAAGATCATTTCACAGTACTGGAATCAAAAGTGTCAAAAATTCGAGATAACCGGTAAACGGCGCGGTTGGGATTTACAAATTTAGAATACGCAAGTAACGTGTGGTCACCATACATGGCTAAGTACATAAACCTGATAGAGAATGTTCAACGACGAGCAACAAAATTCATACTTAACTATCCACCATCAGATATTTCTTAAACAGAGCGACCTGTAACACTTAAACTATTGCCTCTTGAATTCAGACGCGAGATCAATGACCTGATTTTGCTTCACAAGATCCAAAATGGATGAAAAATATCTCTTCAAACGTGTTAATAAAGTCAACGCCTCGATACAACACGCGCAACTTCGATTCTGCGAACTATAGACCTATCTCTCAACACAGTAAAGACTATTACCGTCAATCATATTTTACTAGAACTGTCAAACTTTGGAACTCCCTACCCATGGATATTAAAATAGCTAACAATATATCTTCTATCAAAAGACAAATACAACTCTTGTACTTTAATAATTTATCTATATACCGCCCTCCATAGATATTTACATTGTATTTTAGGAATTTAAGTTTATATTTTATTTTTTAAAGGTAAAAATTGTCAATTGGGACTTATGTCCTGTTATTCTTACCTGTCATTCAACCAGTTTTTTCTTTTTTTTTTTTAATTCATTGTTAACTGTATTTGTTTGACGAATTCAATTAAATTGAAAAAAATTAAAATTAAATTAAATTGTGAAAAATGGACACATGTGCAGCCAGTTCAAAAAATATCTAATTTACATATCTATGTAAATTAGATATCTGTTGATATCTATGTAATAGGATAAAGCGAGGAAAGTGTTATCTATCTATCACAACTTGATTGTAGAAATTGCTGATGAAAAAGTGAACTTGTATAATAAGCCTATCGTACTAGAATATAGCTACAGTGTATGATTTTAAACTTTTTTGTCTAGATTCTTCTCCAGCTTTTACCCATTACTCCTCATTATATCCGCTAATCTGCATCTTGAAATTTAGGCTTGAGGCCGTGAAAGTGGTCTATTCTTACGTAAACTTACCGATGGCCTCTTACTTTCACCGTACAAAAGAAATTCACGAAACAGTGCAAATCACGGTTCTCTTTAATTTGGAGATTTCAAATTCTTGTTAAAGTCGAACGTCTAACATTACCTTCCTTAAGTTTTCAGCTCTATTAACAAAAACAACTGGACATAACCTACTGTTTCATAATTGTCTCAAACTGACTTACTTGACTTAAGCCTTTTGGTCCCCTGAGGAACATAGGGCCGTAAACGACACTCCTCCAACGCACTCGGTTCTGTGCGGTTCACCTCAGCTGTGCCCGTGTTGTTCCAATGGCCTTCACCTCTGCGTCAGTGTTCCTGCGCCAAGTCTGTTTCGGTCTTCCTATGTTTTGCTTTCCTTGTGGGTTCCATTCAAGGGCTTGCTTGGTGACGTTTGAGGGAGGATTTCCTGAGTTTGTGGCTGATCCACCCCCATTTCGTTTTTCTGATCTCCACTTTGATGGGGCTTTGTCTCAAACTATTTGTTAAGTTTTCACTTAGTTATATAACATGCATTGCATTGTGTCGTTTAATTAGTTCACTAGTTCACTTAGCTGCATGCATTCGGACAGCAGAAAGACTACCATAATGCCCTACAAACAGAGTCTACAAGGCATTCTGGTAGTCTGCATACGACTGGAGATGTAACTCGTGGAGATATTACGAACACATTCCTATTATCCTTTGATGGCGAGGGTGGCCGTCACGTAAGCAACTGCGTTTGTCTATATGATTCCTTGCTCAAAATAATGGAAAATAAATACATATTTAATTTAATACAACACATTAGTAAAAAATAAACAAATAAATGGATGCTCAAAATTGAACAAACCGAAAAGGAATTTTAAAAGTGCTAACGATTTTCAGAACTAATACGAAATTTCTCATTTCTTGTTTTTGTGTTTTTCTTTGTTTTGATTTTTGGTTTGTTTTTTAGCTTTCTTACTGTCTTGTCTGACTTCTTTCTCACAGTAAAATTCCACACTTTCTCAAAGACTTAAGTCTTCCCTGGAAACGACATTTTAGTCCGCCATGACAGTGACTACGAGCGAAATTACTTTTGCATTTTCATCATAATTCGAACAGGTGCTAATATCACAATGACTTTCAATTACTCGTTTTCTTGACCTGCCGATTAGTCTTTCCTCATTGGATATGTGCAGAAAATACGTTCTTTACGAAATCAAAGAGCTCACACAGTGAAACACCGTGGTACTTACTCGATACAATGAATATTATTTTGATAGATCAGATCGGTTAATTATTTCCAAAGTCGTCAAATAGAGCGAGTAGCGTGTGGCTCGAGAGCCTGTCTTGAAACCAAAGAACTGTAAAATGGTCAGTTTTTAAAATCTGCACATTTGGAAAATATATTACATATTACTGCACAGGTTCCATGCCAATGAATCATTCCAAATGCTCGTATATCATTGAACACGATCTAGAGGGATTCTAGTCATTTCCGAAAAGGTATGCATCTACTCACCCAGAATCTTTATCTTATGTAAATTTTACTGATTCACCTGGTTCACAAAACGCAAATTTCAGTCTAATACGTTCTGTGATTGCTGTTAAAGCGGTACACTGTTTGAAATATGTACTTGATTCAGGTTTTTCGTGAATGCCGCATTTCAATTAATACTTCTTCTGTTCAGTTGAGTCCTTATAAATCGGGTAAATTTAAACGTTCTTTTCGTTATCACTGAATCAGCTTGAAGCTAAAGGTAAGGAACTGAGAAATAAAATAACGGGTGGAAAGCCTATGAGTAGGCCAAAACATTTCTTCCATAGCCACTGGTTAAAAAAATGCAATGAGATAATTTTCGCCCCCGGCCTAAATTTTCTTGAGATCTTTCAACGTAGTAGTTTGAGGTTTGGCGAAGTTGAGAATATGAAAATCAACAAAAATACCATAACTAATAACTTGTCAAGAGAGCATAAACAAACCAGCGAAGTAAAAGTTACCCTTTACATAAAGCTGTTGCGTGAGGGTATCGGTTTTAACTTCGGATCGCTAAAGAACGAAGGACACGGCGGCAATTGTCACGAAATTCGTTGAGGCAGGTGGATAACCCCTTAGTTTACCAAAAGCCATTTCCAGTTCGGGGGAAAAATCACACATAGCACCTACAAGAAAAAATATATGATTTCAATGTACTAAAAATTTTTCTTTTCTTATTTTTCGTTTCAAGGCTATTAGCTAATTTTTCTAAAACGCAAATTAGGCGAGAAACTGCCATCTTCTTGATCAAGCTTTTCAATAAGATACTTTCAATATTAAAAATGATAACTTTTCCAATCTATTCTGCAGTAACACTCGATAAAACAACAGGTGCGGTGACTCCCAGCAGGAAGCTTGATCAAATTTTGTATTGATTTCTAAAGATTTCATAAGCTCAGGTAATTTACCTTAACATTAAAACAGTAAATTGCATATCAAACGATTTCACAGAAAAAGGTGGTGTGCATGTCGATCGAGCTTTAAAAGATGACATCAACTTTTTCAGTGATTCGCCTTCAAAACTACAACAAACTTGGATAAATGTTTAGCGACACAAAAATAGATAATAATACCCTCATCTTAAAAAAAATTCTGAGCTAAGACTTTGTCAAAAAGGACCTGAAAAACGTTTAATGTATTTGTTTCACGGTTGCCCCGAGTTTCAAATCCTCGGTCATGCTTGTAATATAGCCGACTGGTTTGCCTTCGGCCAGTTGGGATTCTTAATAATGTTATTTTCAATTTGAATTATTTGTTTCAGTTGTTTGGTGGAAAACCTTTAAACTAGCTTCTAGCTAAGTGTTTCTCCACGTTAAAAACTGTTTACTGTTTTTATCTTTTTTTATTATTATTATTATTTTTATTTTTTTATTATTTTTATTTTTTTTTATTTTTATTATTTATTTTTTTTTTATTTTTTTATTATTATTTTTATTTTTTATTTATTTTTTATTATTTATTATTATTATTTTATTTATTATTTTTATTTATCATTACAATCGGTGTATTCAGATAATTCTGTTTGTGAACTAATTAAACAATGCCTTAGATACAAATACAAATTAAATAAATCGAAAGAAACTTTTCTGAATTCGATATCACGATCTCAACATGAATAAACTTTGCTTTCTGAAAGAGAAAATAAGCAGTATCTTGTTTCTTGTTAACACTGATCGAATGGCTTGAAATATGAATTCCAAGCGAAATTATGCAAGCATCTTTTCAAAAAGAAATTATGCAAGTAGCTTTCAAAGAAAAATTATGCAAGTCATTTATGCAACAGATGGCCGCAGAAAAATCCTCGCCTTCCGAACAAAAGGAGTGGCGAACGGGTGTTAGCGCACGCATTCTTACAACATGGTGAGAATTTTTCTACCACGTAAAACAAGGTCAATTTTTGAGGTGGCCAAAACCAGGACATTTTTTTTCGAAGGTCAATCGCATTATAAAGATTTCATCCGGTATTGAGCAAATTTTTAAATAAAAATAAGTCTCGAGAACACCTTTTCTCCTGTTTATTAAGAATAGATCCATGTCACGATAAGAATAATGACTAACTTGCCCACAAACTGACTGACTGACTGACTGATTAGACGACTGACTGACTGAAGGACTCATTGATTGATTGGACGACTGAATGACTGACTAACTGATCGACTGACTGAATGACTGACCAACAGACCGACCGACCGGAGAATAACTGTATGACTAACTAACCAACAGACTGACTGACTGGACGACTCAATGACTGACTCACTGACTAACTGACCGAATGTCTGAATGACTGACTAGCCATGGTCGACTGGATGACTGACTGACTGAGTAACTGACTGACTGACTGACTGACTGACTGACTGACTGATCGACTGAGTGACTAACCAACAGGCTGACTGACTGGGCGACTGACTGACCGAATGACTGACTGACTGGACGACTGACTGACTGACGGACTAAATGGCTGACTGACTGACCGACTGACTGTTTCATTTTCGTGGTTGGCTTGCTATTTTGGTTTGATTGATTAATTGATTAATGGATTTATTGTTTCAAGTCATTGGCAGAGAACAATAATGGCGATTTGGTTGAAGTTATTCTTAGCTGTTTTCATTGGTCTCGTCGCTTGTAATTTCCAAGTGACTTCAGCGAAATCAAACTCATCCAAACTTCATGATGATGATGATGATGATGATGATGATGATGACGATGAAAAGAACAAATGGACAAAACAAAACCTAACCATCGCCTGGATTTACAAGCCCCCCTATACGAGAGGCCCCGATAATAGTTCCTCAGACAATGAAGCACATGGGATAATACGAGATGCCATGTTAAGATACATGAGTTGGGATTGTAGCGGAGCATTTGGCCTTCACTTCGAATTAACGACACTCAGAGCTGACAGTGAATCTGGCATGATACAATTGCTGAAGCAAAATAAAGTCCATATAGCTATTCCCATATTTGAACAAGAAAACGATCAAAAGTATTCTGAATTCATCTTTTTCAAACTAGAGGATTATCCTGGAACGGAATACATAACTTTAGCTGATGTTGAAAACGACGCTCTTGACGTCGTTTTTGATTCTGTATTGAAGTCTTGGCCATTGCTTGCCGTCACCATGATTTTCACGGCCATAGCTGGAGTCATCATGTGGGCTCTGGTAAGATTAAGATAAAAACTACAACGACGTCTCCGAGATAAATGCCCCCACATATCTATTTATCCTTACAAGTCAGTCTCTTAAGAAATTTCAGTGGTTTTTTTTAACTGCTTGATCCTAACCCATATTTTAAGCATCCGTGATTTTATCAAATAATCCGATATGAGTATATTTTCATTTTGTTGACAAAACATGTGGACTTGGATCAAAACTGTTCCTTCGACTTCATATATTTTTAACGTTCAGGGGTGTACACATAATGATTTTCACAAGTTAATGTTCGTGAACAGAACAGAATGTAATTTTGCCTACCCAACCATTAACAATCAGATCGTATATATTATAATTTGCAATGCGTAAGGTTGAGAAGGAATTATAGAGACAGTCTGATGATTACATAGGGATGTGACCGGGAACAATTTCAAGAGAAAAAACCTCATATGTAATTTTTTTTGTACCGCCAGGATACATACTGGAACGGGGAAGAATTTCCACGTTCATTCATCAGGGGCTCATGGGATGGATTTTGGTGGTCCTTTATATCTATGACCACAGTAGGGTAAGCTGTCTGACAGATTAGCATGTGGCAATGCCGTTCTCTATAATACAAACTGTCTTATAATTGCAGACACGTCCATTTGTCTTATGCTCTCTCGTGGTTAAGCTTCTTAGGCTTATTTTCTCGCCAGGACACCATCCTACGAGTGAGAGTAATTATTACTAATCCTTGTTTGTTTTGTACCTTTTTATACGCAAGATATGGAGACAAGGCACCCAAGTCGGCCGTGGCTCGTATTTTCTCTGTCGTCTGGATCTTATTTGGCCTCATAACGATGGCAATTTTCATGGCAAATGTCACCACTACATTGACAGCTCTCTCCCTGCAAAATGAACCAACTAGCCTACATGGTGTTCAAGTGAGTTTGAACAATATCGATCAGTAAACATTAGCTCTCTCCTATTTAAGTGACCAGCGATACTACGGCTCAAAGTATTCCCATACACCTAATCAAACACTTGTGGTTTTAACGACTCTGATAAAGGTTGCATGACATCCTCCTCTTTCTAAAAGTAACCGTGAAATTTGAACTTACGTTGCTAATGCTTTTTAGATTAGTAGGGTTATCATTTGTAAATGCATGTGAAGTAAATGGATTTTAAGATGATTATTGGAGGATAGTGGATAGGGAAAGGTATGAGGAATTTGAAGACCCCAGCCCATTTAAACTTTTCGTTCCAAAGCTCTACAAACTGAGCAATGGAAGATTCATTGGCAGGTTCAGTGTAGGTTATATGTAAGCCATGAAATTAGAAAACTGAACAAAGGAAAAGCTAAGCATTTGAGTTTCTCGCGTGGACT